TTCCAATCGTTTTAGGACTTGTATCAAACTGGGCAAGTCTGAGTGAGTGGATGAGGCACCTGGACACAAGCCCAGCCCACAAAGGAGCTGCAGTCTATGAAGTAAATCAAGTGAAATTGCTTTCAAACTGCAGTTGGCCCACATGTCCTGGTGATATTTCACGATGGTGGAAAATAGGGACGGTATAAATATACTTGTCTCCAGAAAGTAGCCATGTACTCTCAGCCAGTTGATACCAGCAGTTAAGAGGATTTCCACAGCTCACCCCCTACCCTCAGTTCTGGGTCAATTTTTACAGCTTCTCAGAGGTCCCTTTTTATCCCTAACATCCTGCCATAGGTCAAATGGATGTTTATTGCTAATGGGTTGAGTTCCTTTTTGAGTTTCCACTTCTATTAATACTTTGTTTGCAGGATATATTTTCAGAAATTTTGTCCTCACAGGTGTTAAGCAAATTATAGAAGTATGGGCTGGATGAATGGACTATAAGGTGGATAGAAAACTGGCTAGATCGTTGGGCTCAACGGGTAGAGATCAACGGCTCCATGTGTAGTTGGCAGCCGGTTTCAAGTGGAGTGCCCCAGGGGTCGGTCCTGTGGCTGATTTTGTTCAATATCTTCATTAATGATCTGGAGGATGGCGTGGACTGCACTCTCAGCAAGTTTGCAGATGACACTAAACTGGGAGGAGTGGTAGATACGCTGGAGGGTAGGGACAGGATACAGAGGGACCTAGACAAATTAGAGGATTGGGCCAAAAGAAACCTGATGAGGTTCAACAAGGACAAGTGCAGAGTCCTGCACTTAGGACGGAAGAATCCCATGTACTGTTACAGACTAGGGACCGAATGGCTAGGCAGCAGTTCTGCAGAAAGGGACCTAGGGGTCACAGTGGACGAGAAGCTGGATATGAGTCAACAGTGTGCCCTTGTTGCCAAGAAGGCTAACGGCATTCTGGGCTGTATAAGTAGGGGCATTGCCAGCAGATCGAGGGACGTGATCGTTCCCCTCTATTCGACATTGGTGAGGTCTCATCTGGAGTACTGTGTCCAGTTTTGTGCCCCACACTACAAGAAGGATGTGGAAAAATTGGAAAGAGTCCAGCGGAGGGCAACAAAAATGATTAGGGGGCTGGAGCACGTGACTTATGAGGAGAGGCTGAGGGAACTGGGATTGTTTAGTCTGCAGAAGAGAAGAATGAGGGGGGATTTGATAGCTGCTTTCAACTACCTGAAAGGGGGTTCCAAAGAGGATGGATCTAGACTGTTCTCAGTGGTACCTGATGACAGAACAAGGACTAATGGTCTCAAGTTGCAGTTGGGGAGGTTTAGGTTGGATATTAGGAAAAACTTTTTCACTAGGAGGGTGGTGAAGCACTAGAATGGGTTACCTAGGGAGGTGGTGGAAACTCCTTCCTTAGAGGTTTTTAAGGTCAGGCTTGACAAAGCCCTGGTTGGGATGATTTATTTGGGAATTGGTCCTGCTTTGAGCAGGGGGTTGGACTAGATGACCTTCTGAGGTCCCTTCCAACCCTGATAGTCTATGATTCTATAATAATGTATTTAGCAAAGACGTATATTAATGCACTATTAGAATTATGAATTTAAACACTTAAGAAATGCAGAAGTAGTAGGTGCCAGTTACAAAACTGTGTGTAGTTAAGGCAACAAACTAGGTTTCCATTACAATTCTGTTTCTTTTGCATGCTAATAACTTTTCTAAACATTTCACCATTCTGGGCTTGAAATTTCCATTTTAGTCTCTGCTCCAAGAGAGAGGGGCGGGTGGGTGTAACTGGAAAAAAACCTTTCATTCATTTGGGTCATGAGATGAAGTTTGAACCTTGTGCTGGGCAGAGTTCCCAATGAGGTCTTTGCTTTGTTGGGCTGGGGATTTGAAAATATAAAGTTTGGTTTTTTTTATATTGACTGAAAAATGTATACGTGCTGAGAGGTTAGCAAATACTGATGAAACCATGGTCCCTCTGTAATTCCACTAAACATTCTCTCTGACCAGGATACTTGGCGGCTTCTGCTGTCAGTCTAAAATTTACATAAGGGAGTTAATGTCTCCTTGAAATATGCGCACACGCACAATCCTTTTAAAAATAATAATAAAGCAGATCCCACAAATAAAGGTTTCTAAGAAATGTTTGCAGATTATAATCTTTCATTTAAAAAATGCTGCACCTGTCGTGGATAAATAGAAAACTTTGGGCTTCAGCGTTCTGTAGCATTGCATTCATGGAAGCTTCAGTGGAGAAGAGAATTAAATAGTCACCAAATTCATCCACATGTTGAAAAAGATAAGAAAGAATAGAATGAACACTGCATGTTTAGATCACTTTGAAGTCTGGGATCTCAAAGCTCTTTATGGTCACTCTGCAGCTGTGTTTATGTTCATTTGATTCCAGGTTAGAATGCAATTGTCATGCTGCATTGACACAAGGGCTGTCAGTCCTTTGCATGCCATGTCCTTATAGGCAGTTACTTTCAATTACTTCTCCTTGGTGTGCTCCAGAATATTTGTCAGGTCTGCCCCGGTGCTTCCAGAGGGGTACTACAGGAACTGAATCATCAGTGTATGGGGTTATTCTGGCATTTGAGAAGGACCGTGCTGCAAAGTGCCTCAGCAAATCTGCATGAACATTGTAGCAAAGAGAGAAGAAACGAAAGCACAGTTACAGTTTCTCCCTACCCCCAGATAAAGTCTCATAACTGGGGTCCTGCCAAATTCATGGTCCATTCTGGTCAATTTCACAGCCATAGGATGTGAAAATTAGTTAATTGCATGTTTCCAGATATTTACATCTGAAATTTCAAGGTATTAGAACCGTGGGGGTCCTGACCCAAGAGAGGGTCGGGAGGGGGGGAGGATGTCCGAAAGCTGTTGTAGGGGGGACATGGGATCTGAAGGCAGCACCACCGGAGCTTCCTGCAGCCACAGGAGGGTGCCAGAGGTGTAGGTGGGTCTGATCTCCCCCATGCTGGGAGTGCCCCAGCCGGGGGCTCCTAGCTGCTAGTCCCAGCCAGGGTGGGTTGGGACAGGACTTGCTCTTCCCCTGCATGGCTGCTCTCTGGGGGAGATCAGACCTACCTACACCTCTGGCAGCCTCTTGGGCTGCTGCCCAGTCCCAGAGCTTCCTGCAGCTGCAGGAGGTACCTGGAGATGGGTCTGATCTCCCTCCAAGTGTGGTCATGCTGGGGAAGAGCAAGTCCCTCCCCAGCCCGGCTGGGACTAGGAGCCCCTGTCTGGGGTGCTCCCAGCAGCATGGGGGGAAATCAGACCCACTTCCGGCAACTTCCTGCAGCTTGGGTAGGTATCCAGAGGTGGATCTGATCTCCTCCCCAGAGTGGCTGTGCAGGGGAAGAGTAAGTCCCATCCCAGCCCAGAGGGGACTAGCAGCTGGAGCAGGGGGCATGGTAGGAGCCCTCGGTTGGCAAGTCCCCCCCCCCCCCCCCCCCCCCCCGCAGACCTGTCCCTCCCCTACAATAGCTAGATTTCACGGGGGAGGTCTGATTTCATGGTCCATGACACTTTTTCCACAGATGTGAATTTGGTAGGGCCCTACTCCCAACACAGAGATTAAGAATTGCTGCATAGCAACTTTGAAACAACAGGCCTGGGGCTTTTGTAGAGGGAAATCCAACTACTTCCCATGCTGAGACTCAGCAAAACTATTCTTATGTGTACCTCTGTAAGGAAACTACCACGGAGGAAGATTGACCTTGTAGTTAAAGTACAGGACTGGAACTCAGAAGAACTGGGTTCATGTCTTTGCTGTGCCACGGGCTTCTTGTGTGACCTTGGGTGAGTTACTTAGACCTAACGTTTAAAAAAGGTGATACGTGAATTTTTGGTATCTCTTGTTTTGGGTATCCAAACCTTAAAGGAACCTAATTTTCAAAAAGGATTGACTGAGCAACCACCAAAAACTTGGACATCTGCAATCACTGATTACTTTTGAAAAATTAAGTCTTAGCCTCTCTGTGTCTCCGTTCTCATCTGTAAAACGGGGATAATGATCCTCTTGGACATGGGGGTGTTGTCTCTGTGGTAGTGCAATTACAACCTCAGTGTCAGCAAGTATTTGGTTTTCACACATGCCCACCAACAATGTCACTGTCATGGGAAGTTTGCTATGTGTCCCATAACTTGTTTCCTTGCTTTTTAGGATTTGCGTTGGGGGGAAATATTGCAGTTATCCCGAATACCCTTTTTTATACAAGGATTTTGTCTATGGAATCTTATATAAATGATAGAGCACTCTTCGTTTGTGTAGTTCTTTAGAGATTAAAAAGACCCCAAAAATTTTAAAGTAACCTAGGACATGAAGATAGACAATTAACTTTCTCTCTTAGGCTGTAAGATGGGGATATTGATATTTACTTGTATTGCAGAAGTGTTGTGCAGATGAATTAATGACTACAGAACACTGAAAATATAACGCTGTCTATCAATGTTAAGTATTATGATTTAGTTTCTGTTGCTTGCTGTAACCCATTACTCTTCTTTAGTCTTCCCTAGTATTTGGTCTAAAAATAAAGTTTTGCGGTATTTTTTTTTTTTTCTGGGTTGCATGCCCCCAAAGAGGTTTTCAGAAGTTTGCCATCTCCTCTTAATTTGTTGCTCTTGATGGTAGAGGTATGAACCTGAAAGCATTAATGTCATGAACCAAGAGACAGGCGTCTTATGTTAAATGGGCAGGTGACTCTCTGTTTTGAGAGAAGCTCATGTTCAAGCATTCAGAAGTCCTTAACTGCTGAGTTCAAGAGAGCTGATCATAACATGCTAGCTTTTGAAAGCTGCTTCTTGTGAAGAATCATTTATCCAGTGTCTGCATTGTCACTTTGTGTTCAGGTGTCACTTGATGCTTGTCACTTGTCTTAATACATGATACCTGACCTGCTTGTGTTCCAGACAAGGCTGGTGCATTCTCCCTGATCAAACTGGGCCTACTTAATTGTACCTCTCTCTCTTTGCCCTGTCCTACGGATACAGATGGAGGCAGCTATGACATTGTTAACGATGTGTCTAGCCCAGCAACAGGGGACTACCATTCTCAGCAAAGATCTGCTAGACACAACTGGGAAATGAACTACCAAGAGGCAGCAATCTACCTCCAGGTGAGGCCTGCTATTCAGTGTTGTGGTAGAAGTATCCACCCTGTGTTTGAAATTGCTCATCAAGGGCTTGTGAACAGGGGAGTAACCCTTTGATGTGTAAATTGGTAATGTGGACTTTTAAATCATGATCATTATTAAATATAGAAAGCTGTATTTGTGAAGTTTCACGGTTGCAGGGTTGGTTCTCTAAATGGGAGTGACTCCTTAGGGTACGTCTACCCTTACCGGAGGGTGCGGCGGCAGGCAGTCGATGTTCTGGGATCGATCCAGCGCGTCTGGTTAAGACGCGATAAATCGATCCTGGATCGATCCCGGAAGTGCTCGCCGTCGACGCCGGTACTCCAGCTCGGCGAGCAGAGTACACGGCATCGACGGGGGAGCCTGCCTGCCGCGTCTGGACCCGCGGTAAGTTCGGACTAAGGTACTTCGAATTCAGCTACGTTATTAACGTAGCTGAATTTGCGTACCTTAGTCCGAAGTGGGGGGGTAGTGTAGACCAGGCCTTACAGTTAGAACAAAAGATGAGGACTTGAAAGATTTAGGTTCTATTCCTAACTCTGCCAGACTCACTGTGTGATCCTGAGCAAATCATTCAATCTCATTTAAGTCTAATGTGAACTCATGTTTACATTGGAAGTTCGCTGAGTTAATACATTGTCTGATTATGGCACATACTGTAGGCTAAGCCCTTCAGATCCAAGAATTATTCTTGTTGCTGTCTTGACCAATTGCCATATTGATGATGTCCTTGAAATGAAGTAGACATAACTTAAATAGCACTCGATTGTTTATCCAAATTAGCAGCTTCAGGCTAGAGTTTGCTATCTGAATAAGAGGGCATAGCAGCCCAAGAATGTTCTGAATTGGTTAGTTACCAAAAGACAGAATTTGGCTCTTTTTCATTCTGCAAGTTTGTTTTGGGTCAGGCCTGGATAAGAATGCCCTGCTGATGTAAAGCTAGCTCTGTCTCTGAGTGGGAGCTTGTGTTTCATCTGGTTTAGGTTTTTTTTTGTCCTGTTTGCAATCTGGATCGCCAAACTGACTGTTAACATATAAACAGTTAAACACAACATGAGCTTAAACTTAACTATTGAGAATTGGCTCTTTCCTTGTGAGATGATTAAATAGGACGAAGTTGTTACATAAGAACGACCATATTGGGTCAGACCAAAGGTCCATCTAGCCCAGTATCCTGTCTTCCAACATTGGCTAATGCCAGGTGCCCCAGAGGGAATGAACGGAGCAGGTAATAATCAAGTGATCCATCCCATCGCCCATTCCCAGCGTCTGGCAAACAGGGGCTAGGGACACCATCCCTGCCCATCCTGGATGCTGGACGTATCCTCCATGAGTTTATCTATTTCTGTTTTGAACCCTGTTATAGTCTTGGCCTTCACAACATCCTCTGGCAAAGAGTTCCACAGGTTGACTGTGCATTGTGTGAAGAAATACTTCCTTTTGTTAGTTTTAAACTTGCTGCCTATTCATTTCATTTGGTGACCCCTAGTTCTTGTGTTATGAGTAAATAACACTTCATTATTTACTTCCTCCACACCAGTCATGATTGTATAGACCTCAATCATATCCCCCCTTAGTTGTCTCTTTTCAAAGCTGAAAAGTCCCAGTCTTGTTAATCTCTCCTCATATGGCAACCGTTCCATACCCCTAATAATTTTTGTTGCCCTTTTCTGAACCTTTTCCAATTCCAATATATCTTTTTTTTGAGATGGGGCAACCACATCTGCACACAGTATTCAGGATGCGGGCATACCATGGATTTATATAGAGGCAATATGATATTTTCTGTCTTATTCACTATCCCTTTCTTAATGATGCCCAACATTCTGTTTGCTTTTTTGACTGCCGTTGCACATTGAGTGGATGTTTTCGAGAACTATCCACAATGACTCCAAGATCTTTCTTGAGTGGTAACAGCTAATTTAGACCCCATCATTTTATATGTATAGTTGGGATTGTTAGCTCACATTTATAGTGTGGATCACCTCTTAATGGAAAAACTGTCCTGTGGACCTGACCTCACCTCCCACTCCTGACCACAAGTACCAACCTCCCATCCATAATTGCTTAACATCCTCATAGTAACTGCAGCAATTGCTTGCCTTACCTAGAAATGTAATTTTAGGGACGTATATAACATATATTTAACTGTCCCAGTTGGAAAAAACTAGCCAGCACCAGGTGATGACTGCAGACAAACCAGCAAGTGCTCTGCAGGTCACCACTGGTCCACAGTGTGAGAAACTCTAGCTTAAACAATAGAAGTGGCTGCTTGATGGTCCTATATTGGAAGACTGAGAACTATTTAAACGTGAGCTCATTGGAACCGGAGCAGTCTCTTTCTTACGGGCTAAAGTAGTAGTAAAGCTACTGCTATAAATCGGTTGCAAGCAAACTGTTGGAGTGGAGTAACTGAACTTTTAATGTTGTTAAGATGCTGAAGCAAGAGGGAATGACACATCAGCATGTAGACCACTTTAATTTTTCATGGTCTCCAGCTTCCCACATTATTTTCCAGAATGTACTGGACAGTATTTGTGTTCTACAAAAGGATGTTCCTTGCACAGTCATTTTGCAAGGTCAGGATAAGAAACCATGACTGTTAACCAGCTGGCCCTGAGCTTATCTGAGTTCTCTAGAGTTCTGTCCTGGATACATTGATCAGTTTGATGTGGAAGTCACAAATGTGGAAATAATTAAAAATAAACAAAACCCCAGAGTTTATTTGAAGTGTTAGCTAAGTTTCTTTGGCTACCCTGCAAAATGACCTGGACACTTCCTTTTCCTAAGAAACTAATAGCTTTCTAAGTGGGAAGCTCACAGCTCTTAATGTATTTTGTACTACTGAAATATACATACAGAAAAAGTGGGGTGTGCCTCGTGTATAATATATGCAATGTCACCTAGTGGCTAGAGCATGGCCTTGGGACCCAAAGCTTCTGAGTTCTAGTCCTATCTCTGCCAGTTGAAGAAGACACTTAACCACTCAATGAATCAGCTTACCACTCTGTAAAAAGGGAATAACACTACTTCCCTCACAGGGCAATTGTGAAACTAACTTGATGTATGTAAGATTTGTGTTCCTTGGATGGAAGGTGCTCTTGTAGTGTAAAACATTACTAATGTTGCTGCTATTATTTTCTATAGGAAGGAGAAAACAATGATAAATTCTTCACCCACCCCAAGAATGCCAAAGCACTGGCTGCCTACCTCTTTGTACACAATCACCTTTTCTACCTAATGGAGCTGATCACGGCACTGCTGCTCCTGCTGCTGTCCCTCTGCGAGGCCCCTGCTGTCCCCATTCTTCGCCTTGGCATCTATGTACGTAGTTCAGTCACAGAATGATGACGTGAGTGGATGGGCACAGAGAGAAGGCAGCAGCCCCAGAAATACCATCTGGTTTGTTTAAGGGCATGGGGGGAGCAGAAGCAGTGTTGTTTTGCACTGGATATGGATAGAGCAGAATTCCTTTTCCATGAGATCAGGCTCACTCAGGTCAACGAGCAAGACAGGACATATGTATGATGCTTTTAAAGGTCACCATCATCCCAGACCATACTACCCATGATGTATTCAAACAGAATCATTAGCAGCTCTTAGAATGCAAACATTTCAGATCTTTGTCCCCTGGTATGTTTGAGAATACCGTTCTAATCCCAGCTCTTGCTCAGATTCCTCCTGTAATGTGGACAAGTTGTTGAAGCTCTATGCCTCAGTTTCCCAAGGTTTATAATGGATATAAAGATATTTATTTTGCTTCTCCGTGTTTGTGAGAATTCATTTTAAAGTGCTTTGAAGCTTTATGGTTAGATTTTTTTCAAAGGCCCAGCCTCCCTTTCGGTGGGTGTAGCGTATCTGCAAAAATGAATTATGAGTGCAAATCAGATGACTTTGTGGCTACAGATCAGATAGTGAGAAGTGCAAGCACTCTGATTTCTGAGTGCAGCTTGCACCTGCAAACAGAGAAGCTGACCCTAACAATTAAGTGCTACGGGTTATTACCCTGGTTGTTCAGGGTGCTATTTCTGATCATAACTTTTTCATATATGCAAGCTCTTTTTCCATTCAGCTCTTATTCCCGTACTGCATTGGGAGGTATATGTCAGACTTGGATCTTTCAAAAAAAGCCATTTCTTAGTTACAGATGTGCAAAAAGTGTACTGAGGTAATTACATGGAAATAAATACTTATCACACATCAGTAGCTCATCAAAAATGGCAAAATAGTTTTCATTGACTGTTTTTTATCACACATTATTTCTGGGATAACACCAAACAGAGAACATTTCAATCAAAGGTAACCCTTGTTAGAGAAAATGCTAAGTGATATGAGGCTGGATTTTTCCAAAGTGCTCAGCAGCTGTTGTCAATTAATGCTGAACATTAATCTAACCCTTAGAATATTAGTGCCAGGCTAACTTTAAGAATGTTTAAAAGACAGAGGACTGTTTATTCTGATTGTGCAGATGTTTTCAATATATATTCAGGTCTTCTATCTCTGTAGAAAAAGCCTGACTGCTACAAAGCAGAGGTTTGTTACAGAAGTCACGAGCTTCTTGAGAAGGGAGGGTAAAACTGGTTTCTGGAACCAGTGGAAATGAGAGGTAAAATTTATTGGTGGTCTGATTGCAGATCCATGCCACCCTGGAGCTCTTTGCGTTAGTGGTTGTGGTCTTTGAACTTTCTATGAAGATGAGATGGATGGGCTTCTACACCTATATCAGACACAAAAGAACCATGGTTAAGGTAAGCTGCCTGCCCCGCTGCCTGCCCCACTGCCTGTCTGTCTTCAATATTATTTCTCCTTCAATGTCTTCTGTAACCAAAGAACCAGAATAAATATTGGGCGATTAAATATAGGGCATTTATTGAGTTCTCCCAACTTCCATCTGATATTATGTGACTATTGTCCATGTCTGAATTTTGGGGTTCTTTTCACCTCCTTAAAATCTCTTTCCCTGGTTATCACAGTCACAAAACTCTGCAACACAGCTGGTATCCCTGTGTACTATCTATGAACTTGTACCACTCTAGATACACTTTCACAACTTTTGTTTCCTCCGCTCCGCGAACGCTATTCCATTGTCTGGCTGTTGGGAAATGGCATAAGAGTAATGCAGGCCATGCTTTCTCTGTCTGTGCCTGAACACTACAACTCTGCTCTTTTGCTTTTCTCTATACTGGCTGTCAAACTTACAGTTCAGCCAACTTTAAGAAGATTTTTGTCTCACTAATCGGGAATAGGGAGGGAAGAAGAGGAAGTTACCTTTGTAATGCTGATCACTTCCCCTTTTTTCCCCTCCTTGCAGACCTGTGTGCTGTTAGTGCAGTTTGTAGAAGCAATAGTGGTTTTGGTGCGTCAGACCTCGCACGTCCGGATAACAAGAGCTTTGCGGTGTATCTTCTTGGTGGACTGTCGCTACTGTGGAGCGGTCAGAAGGTGACTGGCTACCTGGCCAACTGGCTGATTCCTGCAGTCATGGCTGAGAAGGAGATCAAACTAAAGCTTTGTGGTTGTCCAGGCCTTTTTCATAGAGACTTCATATTTACCCTGGAGATGTGTGAGAAAGCAGAATAGTAGCAAGGCAGTCTCAGAAATGTTACTGTACCTTTGAATTCTCGTGTTTTGGCCCTATTGGGAGGCAGTATATCTTAACCCTGCAGAAAGAAATTGACATGGTGAAACTTGTATCACATGCGTTACCTGAAAACTGACTGCAAAGAAACTAAATATGCCTTGGAAAACGACTAGATGTTCTGGGGATGGTGTAGCATTGTACTGCTGCTTGGGAGACCTGGGTCTAGGGAATGAGTTTGAGATTCTTATTTCTCAGAGCTAACAGAACTTAACAATGTGCTAGAAATCCTGAGCATTCACTTCAATGATTGGGAATGGAGAGATGGAAAAAGACTGACTAGATACTCCAGTTTATTGGCTTGCCAGTGTAGAATTGATCCATCCTCACTTTCTGGTGCACATGCACAGGTTGCAGTTTTAAAATGTGGAGTAAATGTTTCCTCCTTTTCAGAAACCTGCGACAGATCTTCCAGTCTCTCCCTCCTTTTATTGACATCCTCCTCCTCCTCCTTTTCTTCATGGTGATTTTTGCCATCCTAGGTAAGTTGCCTTTGTGAAAAGTTAAGCTATCTGCTTTCTTGTATGGTACCTTGCAATAATTATTGTCTGTGTGCCACAAAAGAGCAGGGGGGAATGTAAAGCTGAATGGACATAAGATGTCTTGACGAGCGCTTCACTTCCTTTCTGTCTGATTCATTTCATAATTAGCTGGGAGGTGAGGGCAGGTGAAGAGTTGGAAAACATAGGAATCAGGGATTTCAGCCCCGTAAGTTAACATCACAAGGGAAATAGGGAACTTTGCCAAAAGGAGTTCTTGTATGCTTTGTGTGCGACTTCCAAGTTCTGCTTAATCAACTTCAGTCTGCAAGTTCAATTTAAACTTCTGAAAATTACTGTCTGTACTGTGCCTTGTACAATGCCACCCTCCAAGAGTCTCAGAGAATTTTGCTTTCCAGAGGGGTCATTTGAATGCATGTTGATAAGTACAAGGAGTTTACAGTATCAGAACTGGCACTGTGTAGCGTATACAATACCTTTTCACCTTCATGGTATTAGAGAGCTGAACAGTTGCGTGACTAAGTATGCCAAGGATGGTGAGCTTTTGGCACGCAGTGCCTCTTCTGCAAAACAGTCACTGCCCAGCCTAAGGGTCAGCCAGTGTGACCAAGCTTTCAGCATGCCAGGTCTTCAATCAAATCATGGGACTTTGTTAAATGAAAGAATGCTCTCTGGGTCTCTTGACCCTTGAGCTGGGAAAGGATATGAGGGGATCTTCAACTATGGGGGCAGGTGCCAAATCTTTGGACTGAAGAACCTCTTGCTGTTTTGGAGAAGGAGAGAGAGTAGGGGAGAAAAGGGAATAAGAAGAGCGGGAAGGAGAGAGGAAGCAGAAGTTTGAGAAAGGGAAGAGAATAAAACCAATCAAGATGGAATAAAATCAGTAATGAAAGAGGAAAAAAGAGGAAAGGAATGGCAGATCAGGAAAAAAGGATTCACAAACCCAAATCCTGCTGTCTTCTGCAGAAGCATGTTAGTGCTGGTGACAAGGGCATGGGACACCTTTTTCTGTCCCTCAGCCACCTTCTCTCCTGATATCCTCGGTCTCTCATCTTCCATGCTGCTCCTTATGTTTAGAACAATGTTCCAGATTAATCTGGGATGGGGACTGTGGTCCTGATTCTCACATCTTCTTGTCCTTTACAATTATATAAAAATGTGTGTACAATGCTACCAAATTAGGATTCCCCATTCACTTGCACCCATTTAGCATAGGTATAAATGCTGACACGAGGTGCAGTGGAGAATGAGGTCCTATATCTTCTTCCTCTCTAAAGCACTGTGCACATGCATTATGTTGCATACAGATATTAAATAACAGAGTATTTCGCTGATGTTCTGGAGTTTTATAGCCACGATTTGAGGATAAGGGACTCTGTTATTTTGTTGCTTGAAATTAAATGTCCTTTTTTTTTTTTCTCTCCTCCCCCCCCTTTCCTCCTTTCCCATTTCCTTCTTCCATTTCTCTAGGTTTTTATCTGTTTTCCTCTAACCACTCAGATCCTGTAAGTAAACAACAAATTCTTCAGACTTAGCTTTTTAAGACCCATTTGGTCATCTTGAAAACCAAATTCAAATAGTCTATATATGGGATAGATATTGTCTTTCTCCTGAATGGATTGTCTCTGGGGGTGCAGTTTTAATTGGAGTTAGCAATAAGAAGGGCAGAGGGCCATGACTGACCATTTATTTTTTTTAACGTAGTTAACCAAGGATCAGACCCCAATGGGAAACAGCAAATGATGTCCCCTCAATGTCAGGAAATCCAAAAGGGGACACTACATTTGTCACCCCCTCTTCTTGATGTCTCAATCCTATCAGGGCAAGCCACATCTTCCCCTACCCGCAACTGCATATATAGTGCAGTGCATGACACTGTGGGCTGGCGCGTGATGTGCCTTGCTGCCCTGTTATTAGTGTTTCTGCCTGGATAGGTAAGTGAATATCCCCAATAAAGAGATCCCAGCACAGCTGCTGGCAACCTCTTGTGATACATCAAAACTGGGACACTTGATCACAGGTCTAAGGAAAATAGTACTTTTCCATCCCAAGTGGGAGGCAGTTGGGTCTGCAGAGAAAGAGTGGTATAAGAAACCCTATTCTCGTCCTCCCAACCTATGGGGGCCTTACTGCTCAACAGCCACAGGTTCCAGCTGCCAAGTCTGACCACAGGGTGATGAAAGTATTGGGAGTAACCTACAGGAATGTGCAGACAAGCTTTAATTTTTTAACTCTTCACATGCCACACCTTTCTGTTTGCCTACAGAAGGGGCATGCAATAACATGTCAAGAGCTACTAAGAGAGTTAAGGAATTATAACCTTGACCGTGTCAATGTGGGGCTGGTTTGTATTTGTTTTCTCTTTCAGTATTTCAATACCTTAGAGAACAGCCTTGTGAATCTCTTTGTTCTTCTGACCACTTCAAAGTAAGTCCATGCTTCCTTTTACTGGGGCTCCCTCCCTTCCCCTCACCCCTGGAAAAAGTCTCTCACGGCAAATCTTTTATTTGTGAAACCTCTGGGTCTGCAGTTGTGACCTCTTCTTCGTCTCATGAGAGCAGTGTTTCCCAATGGGGAACCTGTACTTCACTGCAGCCTAATGTTCAATGACCCACATCGAAGGAACTGCTGTAGTTCACCCTTAAGTATTACGAAGCCACTAAAGGGGAAGGATGGACTCATTGTTAAGGCACAAGTCTAAGAATACAGAGGTCTGAGTTATGCTCCTTTGTCTGCCGCTAACACACTATACAGGCATGGGGAAGTCACTTCACCTCTCTGCCTCTTTTTCCCATCTGTAAAATGGGCATAATGATGCTTGTGCATTTTCTAGGATGATTGTGAGGATTAATTAACTTGAAATCCTTGGAATAAGATCTCTGTGAAACTGCAAAATATTACTGTTGATTAAAACATAAATAAACCATAGATATTTTGTAAGTCCCTGTTGCCCATCAAACTTTGGGGATGTTTAGGGATACATAATTTTCACTGCATTTCAAACTCTTGCAGCGAATGTATAGGTTCATAATGTGTATATTGTGTATAGCTACATAGTCTGCATAACCATATGAGGATGTTGATTTGTGTATGCATATACACAGTTCCTGTACATAGTATGATCATCTAGTCAGTGTGAAACGTTGCATGAATGAGACTATTGTGGCTACTAATAAGTTGGCTTGTATCTTTTGGGGGGCAGTTTCCCTGATGTGATGATGCCATCTTACTCCCGGAACCCCTGGTCCTGTGTCTTCTTCATAGTGTACCTCTCCATTGAGCTCTACTTCATTATGAACTTGGTACGTTTCTTACTGCAGCTGGGACTCCCCTTCCTCTCATTTGGATATTGCAGTAGAGTTCTTCACCTGTCACAATGGTTTGGTAATAGTGCCTGTTATCTTTTGTGTTGTAATGACAGGGCCTATCTGATTAAAAACAATTAGCCCTCTTCCCCCTGTTCTCCTGAGCTTACTGTCCAGTATGAACAGGCACTATACAAACTTCTTTATGTGCCTCTCATTAATGGTAATAGGAGCTGTATAGCCAAATACCTATGCACCATTTAAAAAATGTAACTGTGGGTGTGTGCTCTTGTTAATCCTTTGGTGTCCAGGTTGCTTAGAGATTCTTATTAACTCTACTATACTTTGCATTAGCACAGCACTTAGCAAAATCTATACTGCTGGCATCTATTGTGCCTCTCTGTGGTGCTTATTCATAAGTGTCCAGACGCCATGTGGCAAAAGAGGCCATATGCTGTAACGATCAAAGCCTGACTTCCGCTTTGTCTCATCTGTTTCTTTTCAGCTTCTTGCTGTGGTGTTTGACACGTTCAGTGATATTGAAAAGAGGAAGTTCAAGTCCCTGCTGCTGCACAAACGCACAGCCATACAACACGCCTACCGCCTGCTTGTCAGCAAGCAGGTAGGGGATATTCATATATGTGCAAGAAATACTCAGCCTGTGTCACTGGAAGCTGTCACTGACCCCCACCAGTAGCACATCAGAAGAAATTGAGTGTTTAAAGAGGTGGTGTTCCACCAGCAGTAATTGATGACAAAGTTCAGTGTGATCAAAAACCTGAAGGATTCAATAGATACAGGACGGCTAAGTGACAGCTAAAGGGAATGTTAAGCCTAGAAATATATTTTGCAGGTTGTACACACACAGGGAGAAGAGGGATGATTTAGCATGGTGAATTGAGGGTATAACGAAGAGTAATGGAATGAAATTGAAACAGGAAAGCGTAGGTTAAAGTATCCGGGCAGTGAGCTCGGTTAGGCTGTGGAGCAGTTTCCCAAGGGAAGTGGTGGAAGCCCTATTGCTTGGCACTTAAACTGGACAGAACTTCAGTGCAAGATTGTTCTCTGTTCTTCCACTGACCAGGAGACCAAGCAGAGAAGCTAATCCCAGGAGACTTTTCCTCTAGCTAGGTTCTAGAGCAGTGGTTCCCAAACTGGGGTTCACGAACCCCTGGGGGTTCGCAGAACGTTACAGGGGGTTTGCCAGAAAAATTTCACTAATGGCAGACAGAGGACCCCAGGCATTGGAGACAGCGGGTGGGACCCAGTTGCAGGGCAGACACCCCGAGCCCCAGGGAGAGTGGGGCCGGGCAGTTGGGGCTGGCAGCCCGAGTCCCGGCGGTCAGCAGGGGAGCCGGCAGCCCGAACCCCAGCGCTCTGCGGGGGGCTGACAGCCTGAGCCCCAGGGAGAGCGGGGCCGGGCAGTTGGGGCTGGCAGCCCGAGCCCTGCCCCCGTCAGCGGGGGAGCCGGCAGCCTGAACCCCAGCCCGAGCCCCAGGAAGAGCCGGGCCGGGCAGTTGGGGCATCCATCACACTGAGGAAATTTAAACTTAAATCCCTGAAAATATTCATTTTTAGGAGGCGGTTCACGAGATTTCACAATTTAGTGAAAGGGGTTAGTGAGCTGTTAAAGTTTGGGAAACACTGTTCTAGAGTAATAAGTGAGTGTGTGCCTTCTAGAGGTGGTAGTAACGGCATCTTATCCTGACATTTAAATCTTGCTTAGAAGCAGTCCTAAGAGAGAATTATATGTTCCTATATGGCCTATATGTTCCTGTGCTTCCTCCTACAGCATCACTTATGGCAACTCCTTTCTGTGTTTCTAGAGACCATCTGGTATCTCCTTCAAGCAGTTTGAAGGGCTGATGCGGTTTTATAAGCCTCGGATGTGCGCCAGAGAACGTTATCTAACTTTCAAAGCACTGAATCAAAGCAATACAGCTTTAGTCAGGTAGGATGCTGCTGCTGTAACCTAGAAAAGGGACAGCATTTTACAGGATTCATGACACTCTGGGTCCATACCATACGTCAGAGGGAATGGTGTGGCTTATCAAGGAAAATCAATCCCAGAATGCAGGCTTAGATGCAGCCTGGGGTTGGGGAACACTTCTGGGATTCTTGAACTTGGGCTTGAAAGGGGTGTCGAAGTGATAATCCCCTGCTGCTTTATGATCTGCCGGTCAATGGGTGGCTTTCCCTTCTGCCCCATTGGAGAGACAGTACTGCGATGACAGCCATTAAGCAGAGGGAGATAGGTGAAAGACAGAGGTCCTTGGAAACAGAGGACCTTATTTGGATATGAGACCCAAAGAAAGGAGAACTTCTGCACATGCAATGCAACTTTAGCTTAACACGTTCTCAGTTAACCGGCAATTGGTTATGTCCTCTGGCATTTCACGAAAGCATCACTCTCCTGGAGTTCCGAAAAACACTGCAGAACCCTGCATTAAGAGTCAGAGTAATTATTGCTGAATCATGCTGTTGGGTGGGTCCAGTTAACTCCAACCTGGATATAAAGAGATGAGTGTGTTTGTGGGCGAGAGAGACCTAGAATGATAGGACAAGGAAACCCCAAAGGGAAACTCGGGGCATAGCTAAGCTTGGGGTGGAATATTAGGGTGACGCTAATGTGGTTGTAGATAATGGTTTTCATTTCCCAATAAAACTAAACCCCCAGGAAGGGAGTGAATCTGGATGCTAGTTCAGCATCTGTGTGCTCTGTTGAGGATGGGATAGGGACCAAGAGTCAGATTGTTAAAGATGTTTAGGTACCTAAAGGTGCTACTAGGCACCAAGTAAAATTGTTTTTGTTTTTTGTTTTTCAAATCTGCATCTTTAGGTATCTAAACACCTTTAAAAATCTGGCCCAGGCTGATTGTCAGTCATTTTTACTTCATGTGCTTACAGGGTTCTCTCATCTCATATCTTTGCACCAGTTTTATTGTTGCTCAAAAGTTTAAAACTACCTTTTTAAAACAACCAACCAAAACCTAGCAGGAAAGGAATAGTTAGTAGTAAATGAGGAATTAAGATGTGCTTCAAGGATGGTTCAGGTCCAATTATTTGTAAATGGCATTTTACAAACCACACAATTGATCATCCAGCTATCAGCCAGGAGGCTTATGCAAACCTTAATATTGGTGACATCTTACCTTATTTATTTATATGCATGTAGTGCATGCAAGTAAACACTGCCCCTATGAGCTTACAATATAAATGAAATCCTGGTTCCATTGAAGTCCATAGCAAAACTCTGTTTGAGTTCAGTGGAGCCAAGATTTCACCCTAAGACTGTATCAGTCTTTGTCAGGCCTTGCTGCAGAAACGTGGTAGCCTTTACTCTCTCCTAAGGCCCACTTGCGTTTAGGAAAACCTGTGACACAAATAATGGATGAGCTGAATGTTGATTTTTCATACAGTTTGAACAAAGAGTTAACGAGAAATTAAGGGAACGTCTCCTGAAAAGAACGTCTGGCATGGAAAACATTCCCCCTCTCCCACAATCAGGTGACACAATTAGGCACTTGATACACTTAAATAGTGAAACATTTGGTACCCATGATGGCAAAATTCAAATACCACTGGGATTTGATCTGATTCACCCTTTTATCTTTCTCTCTTACAGCCTAAAGGATTTCTACAATTTCTATGAAGTTGTTGGCTTAAAATGGAAGGCAAGTGTTAAATGGAGGAGAGTGTGAGGAGAGAAGGGGATGAGTACTGGAGGGAAGTTTATGGAGAGAAGGTGGAGGAGATATAAAGACTATGTGGAACAAGACTGAAATGACCTGGGGAGAAGATGGGTCTTGCTCCATTCTCTATGGATGTAATTTTGACCTACTTTGATAAATCTCTGCTCATACTTCCCGCTGATCAAGTCTGTTCCACTTCCAGGCAAAACGAAACCGCGAGCACTGGTTTGATGACCTTCCACGGACAGCGTTTCTTATATTTAAAGGTAACTTGCTGTATGGTTCACTTGATGATTAACCAGTTCTGTTCATTCCCTTTGAAGCATCTGGCATTGGCCACTGTCTCAAGACGGGATGCTGAGCTAGATGGACCATTGGTCTGACCCAGTATGGCCATTCTTATGGTCTTATGTTTTAAATTCAAGCATGTACCTGTTCGAAAACCATCTCTTTTCAAAAAAAGAGAGGCCTTCTGAAAGAACACATTCTCTGTACATTACCCCAAGCATAAATACAGTAACCGTCTAAATACTCCAGATAACCTGCTGAGACGGGCACAGTCGCTAACTGCCGAGCCACTCAAAAGGCACGGTATTCTGGCCTGTTGGAGGAGGACATCTGTCACATAAATATATATTCTGTGCACTGACCCGGAAACCAACTTTATAAAATAAGGAAAGCTTCTTAGCAAATACCTTGAGCCCACCCATTGCTGGATTCGTCTTCTGGTACAGCATGCAGGGGAGTCTGATGCAGTGGTCCAGCTTGCTGGGACTGGCCGAGTCTAGGAGATTGGTTTCTCAGTATCTGAGGCTGCAGCTCTCCTCCAACAGCAGCGGGCTGTGGAGTGGATTTGCAGTCTCCGAGGGGTTGCTGGTCTTCGTCGTCTCTGGATGCAGCATTTGGACAGAGCATGTGCAGCTGCTGTAAAGGAGAAAATAGAGGTTATAATGTGGCCTAGATACAGCCTTAAACGTAATATATCCTCTACATGCCACTGTTGCAAATGTCCCAGTTTTTCCTTACCCGTTTGTATCCCTGGATAAGTGGGGGTTTGTTTGTTTTTTTTTAAATATATATGTAGGTTAGTGAGGGACAACTAGCCTGAACCAAGGATAGCGCAGGCAGCTACTGGTACAAGGTCCCTATGCAGCTGTGCTAATGCACTTTAGCCCGGAGTTAGAACGCTTCCACTGTTCCAGGACTGGGCGGTGACTGACATCTCCATTTGAACTGTGCACTAGTTTCAAGATGTGGGCAAATTTGAAACTGCAGTAGGGTGAGAACTGTCACATCACTGTCACTTGAGTTCTAGGTCAGGATTTGAACTCCAGGCATAAGAAGTGAAAGACATGTAAGGGCACTATTGCCCACTGTGCTACCTAGACCCTGTGCTGAGAATGGATATGAAAAATGAGCCCAGTTAATGTCAGGGAGATCATTAAATAGATACGGAGGAAGAAGAGGGAGTATTTGGTACACGTGTGAGTTTATTTTTAAGTATTTTTTGTAACGAACATCTATTTGTTTGTAATATTTCCCTTCTTCATACAGGCATTAACATTCTGGTGAAGTCCCGAGCATTCCAGTATGCCATGTGTAAGTGTGAAAAACAAAATCTCATGGTTTTACCTACTCAGCTCTCTGTTCTTCAGGGCGGGGATTCTCTCTGTGTGTTTGTACACTGCCTAGTGCAATGGAACCTGAGCTCTGATTGGAGCCACAATAATTCCTGTGCGTCTCTGCGATCAGGGAAGGAGTTCATGTGCGTGTGGGATTCTCATAAGGACTAGTTTGTCCATTATTTTGAAGTGTGTTTTATGGGACTGGTTTCTTCAGAAGCGGGCTCTTCCATCCTGTTGCATTTCAGAGGGGGCATGGTTACACTTCACCTGCTTTCAGTTTTGACACTGCAGCTGAGGATGCTGATGAAAGGACCTGACTTGACACACAATGCTCCCGTGGTTTGCTGCACTTCAGAAAGTGCAAACCGCTTAACTCCAAGGGGTATTGCTTGGAGTTTGTACTCAGCAGAGCAGCCGAATTGCTGTCCACCTTCTCTAGAGAGGAGGGCATGTTTGACTCCTGGTCCCACTTGTTACGCTAATCTCTCATTTTGCTTGATTTTTATTCTGTAAGAGAAGTGCCCTTTTTGCTGATTATGATGGTAGGATGAAGGAAGGAGTGAAGGGGAGAGTTCCTACATCTTGGATCCTCTGTGCCCCGGTGGCTTAATGGTGGGCTCTACAAGCGGGCCTGTAGGAGCTTTGTGATGGTGCTGTATCCTTCCCGCATTGTAACTGGCCTAGGAGCTATGTACGGTCCTGGAACAATTCTGCAGAGATGGAAAGAAACTGGAATATAGAAGTAATACTAGGGCAATGTAGGGAATAATGTACCAGGAAAAATAACTGTATGTTAGACTGAGATTCAACAATACACTTTTTTCTTCTGAGGATCTCAAAGCATTGTACATAGGTGGATAAATTATTATACTCATTTAATATACTGGGAAACTGAAGCACAGAATGTCGGGGGCTTTACCAGTGAATGGGATGTGTAACCTTGGGAGAGTTGGAAACAGAACTTGGATCTTCTGATGCCTAGTCCTGTGCCCTAACCATTAGACCACACTGCCTGCCTAAAAGTTTAGAAAATTAACATCTGATTATCCAGCAACTTTTCATTGCAACAGTGTATTTTGTTTTCCAGATACTGTGGTAGCTGTGAATGGGATCTGGATTCTAATTCAAACCTTCATGCTGCAAGGTAGGATATACATGGTTCATTTCTTGACTTGTCTTCCATAAGTTTGATCAGCCCTCTGAGAAGGCGCTGTTTCTGTGCCTTGCAGGTGGGAACTTCTTCCCCAGAGATGTCCCGTGGAGTTACATCGTCTTCCTCACGAGTAAGTTGCTGCACCAGACCAGCACTGCCTTGTTCCATTACAGCTGCGGAAGGGTATATTGGGGTTTCTCAGTTGCGCATTTTAGTCATTCAAGGGCTTAAAGTATCCATTTCCATGAAAGCCAATTTTCTCAGTGCCTGGATCTGAACAGATTTTATTGCCTTGCTTGCTTGTAAGAAGTGCGTCTGGTAAACTTGGTGTGCTGAAGAGGGAACCTCTTGCACCCCTGCTATCTATGTAATGAGATGCATCTAAATGGGAATGTAGTTCTGACTCAGCCCCTAGTAACGTTGCCCCAAAACCACACACCCATCTGGTCTTCCATTTTCACCCCAACCATAAACGGTTGGGCATTTACTGACCCCCGTCCACAACTCACGTTACTGTCAGTGCAGACTGGATACATTGCATAGCCCTCTTGGTAGAATTATCATATTGAAAGCACATCTCAAACCAAGACCCTATTTATTTCCTGCTCTGTTAATTGTTGTTTTGTGGAATCATTTTGTGGAATCTTTTGAGTCTGTCAGCACCACTTCAGACAAATCAGAGGAGCTCTTGAGAGAGCAGTATACTGCTGCCCCTCCCACAGAGGCTGACTGTACTGTCTTCTAGCACCCCTGAAAAGAACAAGGCAAGAGTGAGCCTGACCTTAGATCCCTCTATGCCAGTGTGTTGCTCTGCCATGGAACTCATTACTTATCCAAGTTAGTTCATCCTCTCCTATAAGTGACGTTTGTTTTTCACTGCTGCTGCTGAGCAATTCTACTGAAACAGAGCTAAAGCTGTTAATAAGTAAAGCTGACAATTGCAATAAAGGTGACTTTGGGAGAATCCAAATACCTGTTTGCTAACCTCTCACTTAACTGCATGGAGAGCTCTTCTGCTACAGTTGCCAGCAGAGGAGTTGTCAGAAAAGTTGGAGTTAGAGAAAATGTCCATTGTTTGTTTTATGAGGATGTGGTGACTTGTTTTTGTTTCCCCTGGGGCTGTCCTAATTAGTGACCTCACATAAAGTCAGACAACGAAATATTGACAAATTTTATAGTGCTTGTATGCTAATGCAAGAAGTCTAAATACTAACGAGTGAACTTGAGTGCCTGGTATTAGGATATTGATAGAATAGGCATCACAGAAACGTGGTGGAACAAATGATAATCAATGGGACACATAATACTAGGGTACAAAATATATAGGAATGACTGAATAGGTTGTGCTGGGGTGCACTGTATGTGAAATAAAGCATGGAGTCAAATATAGTAAAAATCTTAAATGAATCAGACAGTACCATAGAATTTTTGTGGATAGAAATTCCATGCTTGAATAATAAGAGTATACCAGTCAGAATATACTTCTGACCAGGATGGTGACTCTGATTGTGAAATATTCAGGGAGGTTAGAGAGGCTACAGAAACAGAAAATCCAAAAATAATGGGGGATTTCATTTATCCCTATATTGACTGGGGTTCATGTCACCTCAGGATTGGGTGTAGAGATAAAATTTCTAGGCGTTATTAATGACTGTTTCTTGGAGCAGATAGTCCTGGAACCCACAAGGGGAGAGGCAATTCTTGATTTAGTCCTAAGTGAGCACAGCATCTGGTCCAAGAAGTGACTATAACTGAATCACTCGGTAATAATGTTCATAACGTAATTACATTTAACATCCTTGTAGGGAGGAAAATACCAGAGGAACCCACCACAGTAGCATTTAACTTCAAAAAGGAGAACCAAACAAAAATGAGGCTAGTTAAATGGAAATTAGAAGGAACAGTCACAAGAGTGAGCTGCCTGCAAGCTGCATGGAAACTTTTTAAAAATACCATAACAGAGGATCAAACTAAATGTTTCCTCCCCCCAGGCACCCCACCCTCCCCCAAAAAGAAGAAGGTAACAGGAACAAGAAAAGCCACCATGGCTAACCAACATACTAAAAGAGGTGGTTAGAGACAAAAAGACATCTTTTAAAAACTGGAAGTCAGATCCTACTGAGAAAAATAGAAAGGAGTCTAAACACTGGCAAGTCAAGTGTAAAAGTTTAATTAGGCAGGCCAAGAAAGAACTTGAAGAGCAGCTAGCAAAAACCCCAAATCTAACCGCAAAAAATTCTTTAAGTACATTAGAAGTAGGAAGCCTACCAACAAGGGCCATTGGATGATCGAGGGCCACTGGACAATCAAGGTGCTAAAGGAGCAGTCAAGGAAGACGAGGACATTGCAGAGAAGCTAAATAAATTTCTTGCATCGGTCTTCGCTGCAAAGGATGTAAGGGGGATTCCTACACCTGAGCAGTTCTTTTTAGATGACAGATCTGAGGAACTGTCTCAGCTTGTGGTATCTATAGAGGACATTTTGGAAGAAATTGATAAATTAAACAGTAATAAGTCACCCGGACCAGATAGGATTCACCCAAGAGTTCTGCAATTTCACATCTGAGTTCCTTCCGAACTACTAACTGTGGTATGTAACCTATCACTTAAATCAGCCTCTGTAGCAGGTGACTGGCAGATAGCTAATGTAATGCTGATGGGTTTGGTTTTTTTTTTTAAAGGCTCCAAAGGCAATCCTGGCAATTACAGGCCAATGAGCCTAACTTAAGTGCCAGGCAAATTGGTTGAAACTATAGTACAGAACAAAATGATCAGACACACAAATGAACACAATATGTTGGGGAAGAGCCAACACGGCTTTTGTAAAGGGAAATCGTGCCTTACCAGTCTTAGAATTCTTTGAGGGTGTCAGCAAACGTGAACAAGGGTGACCCAGTGGATGTAATATACTTGGACTTTCAGAGAGCCTTTGACAAGGTCCCTCACCAAAGGCTCTTAAGCAAAACAGGCAATAATGGGATAAGAGGTAAGGTCCTCTCATGATCATTAACTGGTTAGAATACAGGACACAAGAGTAGGAATAAATGGTCAATTTTCATAGTGGAGAAAGATAAATAATAGGTTCTCCCAAGGATCTGTAGTAGGACCAGTGCTGTTCAACATATTCATAAATGATTTGGAAAAGGGAGTGAACAGTGAGGTGGCAAAGTTTGCGATGACACACAGTTATTCAGGATAGTTAAGTCCAAAGCTGACTGCGAAGAGTTACAAAGGGATTTCACAAATCTGGATGATTTAGCCACAAAATGACAGATGAAATTCAATGTTGATTAAATGCAAAGTAATGCACAGTGGAAAACATCATCCCAACTACACATACAAAATGATGGGGTCTAAATTAGCTTTTACCACTCAAGAAAGAGATCTTGGAGTCATTGTGGGTAGTCCTCTGAAAATATCTTCTCAATGTGCAGTAGCAGTCAAAAAGCTAACAGGATGTTAGGAACCATTAGGAAAGAGCTAGGTAATGAGACAGAAAACACCATAATGCCACCATATAAATCCATGGTATGCCCACACCTTGAATACTGCGTGCAATTCTGGTCACCCCCTCTCAAAAAAGATATATTGGAAATGGAAAAAGTACAGGGTAGGGGAACAAAAATTATTAGGGTTATGGAACATTTTCTGTATGAAGAGAGATTAAAAAGACTGGGACAGTTCAGTTTAGAAAAGATTTATGAGGGATATGATAGAGGTCTATAAAATCATGACTGGTGTGGAGAAAGTCAATAAGGAAGTGTTTTTACCCTTTCCTATAACACGTGACTCAGGGTCACCCAATGAAATTAATAGGCATCAAGTTTAAAACAAACTTAAGGAAGTACTTCTTCACATAATGCACAGTCAACCTATGAAACTTGTTGCCAGGGGATGTTGTGAAAGCCAAAAGTAGAACTGGGTTCAAAAAGGAATTCAATAAGCTCATGGAGAATAGGTCTATCAATGGTTGTTAGCCAAGATGGTTAGGTACACAACCCCTTGCTCTGGGTGTCCATAAACCTCTGACTGCCAGAAGCTGGAGATGGATAACTCAAAAATTGCCCTGTTTGTCCATTCCCTCTGAAGTATCTGGTCTGGCCATTGTTGGAAGACAGGATATTGGGCTAGATGGATCGTTGGTCTGACCAAATATGGCCGTTCTTATGTTTTTATACCCAGATGTATAGAAATACTTTGATTACTGAACTGTTGCCTGATGTTATAATGTCCTACTAAATTCAAGAACTTCACAGAGTGCCCTCGTGGCAGTGTATGAAACAAACAGCCTTCCTCCAGCCTGTTTGAAAATATCTCCCATGGTCCGATGAGCTCATAGATATGATTCTTTATTACATTCCATTGAGGTTAAATTGGGCGAGTATGTGCCCTGAAGTTCCTCTGGATGACTGATTAGCCTTTCTTATAGGCACTCACTCCTGTCCAGAGATCTGAATGTTTGGCACAGTAGCTAAGGGAGAAGTTAGTGATCTAGAAGAGAAGTGGGGCCCACTTATCCCCTTGAGGATAAACATGAAGGAAGGGAATGGTAGCTTATTAAACCTACAGTCAACAAACCTACGTGTTCAAGCTGCACATAAGGAATGGTTATGGTGTGGCTCATTTATGGGTTGATATTAGATTCTCTTTTGTTTTGCAGTCTATGGGGTAGAGCTGCTCCTGAAAACCACTGGCCTGGGACCCATTGAGTATCTGTCTTCTGGATGGAATCTGTAAGTGTGCTGCTTGTGAACAGTGAGTGGGGGCTGGAGGCATAACACCCAGAGCTGTTGTGCTAATCTGCATTGCATCAGTGTCACTTGAGCAATCTGAATTTGAATCAGCTGAATTTGGTGGGGATCTAATGAGAGAGAACTCAGAATTGCAGGATTTGAGGGGTATGGTGATAGTTGCTGGGATATAGTTGCCTTCTTTCAAAAATGGCCTTAGGCCAATAGATTAGAAAACTTTATTTCAATAGAGATTCTGCAGGAAATTCCAGTACCCCTCCACCTTTCCCTTTGTCTTCTTTTGAACTAGAGTGCCATGAGCACTCTGCCCCTCGCAAGGCTAAACCGGACCACTTCTGCTCTCCCTCTTCCTTTTCCAGCTTTGATTTTTCAGTCACCCTGTTTGCATTTCTGGGTCTCCTGGCGCTGGCATTTAACATGGAGCCATTCTACTTCATCGTCGTCCTGCGACCCCTTCAACTGCTCAGGTGAGACAGAAAAGGCATATGGGGAATGGGAAAATAACCAAAACAGCAGAGTATCAGGGGGTAGCCATGTTAGTCTGAATCCAGAAAAACAACAAGGAGTCCGGTGGCACCTTAAAGACTAACAGGTTTTTTTGGGGCATAAGCTTTTGTGGGTAAAAACCCTCACTTCTTCAGATGAACCTGAAGAAGTGAGATTTTTTTTTTACCCACGAAAGCTTATGCCCAAATAAATCTGTTAGGGTATGTCTACACTACAGGATTAATCCGAATTTAGATAATTCGAATTTGGGAAACAGGTTGTATAAATTCGATTGTGCGCGGCCACACTAAGCACATTAATTCGGTTTTTAACCACATTAATTCGGTGGTGTGCGGCCACACTACCCCATTACTTTAACCACAGTAATTCGGTGGTGTGCGGCCACACTAACCCTAATTCGAATTAACAAAATCGATTTAAGCGCTACTCCGCTCGTCGAGGTGGAGTACAGAAATCGATTTTAAGTGCCCTTTAATTCGAATTAACTGGCTCTGTAGTGTGGACGGGTGAAGGGTTAATTCGGATTAACGCAGCTAAATCCGAATTAAAGTCGTAGTGTAGACCAGGCCTTAGTCTTTAAGGTGCCACCGGACTCCTTGTTTTCAAAGCAGCAGAGAGAGGGTTTTTTCCTTCAACCCAATCCAGGGCTTAGCTCACTGGCAGGACCCAATTGGGAGGGTTGCATGGTTACGTGACTGTATCACAAAGGAACTGGAACCCTATATGGGTAATGAGATTATCTTGAGTTATGGGAATTAATTATGACAAACTTCAGAAGTGATATTAAAGCTCATGCTTCAGGGCTTAACCCAGCCTCTGTTAGAATCCTATGTGCAGAGCGCTGTAGCTCCCAGAAATGCCAATCACTGAGGCAAATGGTTGTCTACTGGTTAGAGCAGGTTGCATGAGTTCTCTTCCCAGTTCTGATACTTGCAGTGACACCTTGATCAAGTAATTTAACCTCTCTGTCCCTCAGTTAAATGGGTATGATAATGTCTGCCTCACAAGGTTTTTGTAAAGATTCATTCATCTTTGTAGAGTGCTTTGAGATCATCAAATGGAAGTTCCATAGAAGGGCAAAGTGTTCTTTTATTAAAGATGAACTAATATCTAGTTCTTATATAGCACTTTTCATCAGTTGATCTCAAAGTGCTTTACAGAGAAGGTCAGTATCATTGTATCATCCCCATTTTACAGATGGGCAAACTAAGGCCCAAAGAGGAGACATGACTTGCCCAAGATCAACCAGGCAGCCTGGCAGAGCTGGGAATAGAACCTGGGTCTCCTGAGTTCCAGTCCAATTCTCTATTCACTAGGTCACACTATCTAGGATCCCTACTTGCTAATGGAGCACACATAAGGATTTAAAAAAATGGGTTAATTACATTTTAAAATAAACCATTTTCTTCTTTACTCACCTGCCAAAGCCTGCACTCAGAAGTCTGTTTTTCTCTTGTAATGGTTGATGTGTGAGGAATGCAGCTTTCTCCCATTAATTGTTGCAGGAAAAGAACAGATAACTGAGCTTGTCTTGGTAAGTGAGCTCACCTTTAAAATATGTTCTGTAAATGCCAAGCGTACACGTGTTAATGATGTAGGAGCTCACCATTTATAAATGTAATTATTTATGCATGAAGCTTTATCAGTAAAACACTGTCCTTGTCCTAAGAAGCATAATCCTTCAAATGCTTATTCATAGACCTTGTCCTTCATCACATGAGACAGTGGGGCTTACCCACAGGAGTAAAGACTATTTGAGTAAAGATGGTCTGGATCAGGAACTGAGAGGCCTTACATGTCCACTTTTAATGTTCCTAAAGTCTAAATATCCCAACCAAGTGAAGGGAGGCAGTGGGACCTAGTGGATAGAGAGACCTGGGTTCTGTGTCTGATTCTGTCGCTGACTTGCTGTGTGACCTGGACAAGTCACTTCTGCTGCCCTGTGCCTCAGTTTCCCCATATGTTAAATAGGGATAATGATACAGACCTCCTATATGAAGTGCTTTGAGATCTACTGATGAAAAGAGCGATGATATTATCCTGTCCCACTCCACCTCTGGGGAAATTTATTGGTGAATAATGAAAGTGCAAAATGATTCATAGATTCCAAGGCCAGAAGGGACCATTGTGATCATCTAGTCTGACCTCCTGTATTACACAGGCCATAAAAATTTCCCAAAATAATTCCTAGAGCAGATCCTTTTAAGAAAACATCCAGTCTTGATTTAAAAGTTGGTAGTGGGGGAGAATCCACCACAATCCTTGGTAAGTTGTTCCAATGATTAATTACCCTCACTGTTAAAAATTCTATGCTGTATTTCAGATCCAAATTTGTCTAGCTTCAATTTCCAGCCATTGGATCATGTTTTATCTTTTTCTGCTATCAGTACTTCCCTGGCTAAATGCAGGTGTACAGTCCCCAGATTCTTATTTAGTAGTGTCACAGCGAGGAAAGTGCATGGTTGGTGGTCTACTTTGGTGCAGCCTCCATATGGACCCTGGCTGAACCTGTATTCAAAATGCTTCTCTCGTGGCCTTGTTTTGCTTGTACATGCTGCTTGTCTTTATGCAGCTAATAAGAAAACAGGAAGGAATTGTCCTCGTGTAAGTAACCACTGGCTTTTCATCCCTGCTTCAGGCTCTTTAAACTGAAGAAGCGCTACAGGAATGTCCTGGACACAATGTTTGAGTTATTCCCCAGGATGGCCAGGTATTGCACAGCCCTCCTTGGAGGGGGAAAAATGGACAACATCCCAAAGAAGCGTGTACTAATATGGCTCTGGCATTTCCAGGGTAATGAATACCTGGGCTGGGGTCAGAGTAGAAGCAATCACTTTTTTTTTTTCTTTGCAGTGCAACACAAAGAAATACATAAAGAGCTCTCCAGCACACTAGGCCTACCACCTGATGCACATTAACCCCTTTGCTCCTGAGCACAAGGGCAACCCCACTGTGGCACTTGTTTGGTTTTTAAGTGATGATGGTTTTTGTGCAAAGAAGGTTTCACAAAGGAGATGTGTATATACCCAGGGTTGCCTCATGTCCTTGGTACAATAGGGGACCAGACGGGTTACAATTATTGCGAAGTGATGTGGAATGCCCGTTTAATTAGTCACTGAGATAAGGAGCCATTGTCCGTGTATGACATCACAATATCTTATTCCCCTGCTGCAGAACTATCTAGGTGTTCAGACAGGTTAACCAGCTAGGCTTATTTCTGAAGCTGTTCTGACATCACTGCTGATGGTCAAGGAAACAAAGAGGATAGAGCGATGTTGGCTTGTGCTTCATTAGAGAAACTAGGTGGTGGGGAGGGGGAATAAATATTTAATGGCTTAATGGAAAGGAGCAAGTCCGTAAGGAAAGAAGGGTTCTCTTCAAGTTTCTCAGAGCTTATTTCTCACCAAGGGCATGGTACAGACCTCCATAACTCTAGACTTTTAAAACTAGTTGAGACAAACACTGCACATGTTCCATAGGCAACAAAACCGCATTGCAGGGAGGTGGTCTAGATGCTACACTGGGGTTTACTGTAGATGGTAGAGATGGAAAACTGCTTAGAGAACAGCCAGTCTGAGTGACTTGGCTTTTTTTCTCTGTCCTACCAACTGGTGAATAACAGAATTAGGCTGTCTCTACACTGCATACCTTACAATGGCACTACAGCCGCACAACTGTAAGGCACGCAGTTTAGCCACTCTGTCACCAGGACAGAGCTCTCCTGACGACAAAATAAAATCACCCCAAACAAAGGGCGGTAGCTTCATTGGCCGGAGAGCGTCCCGCGCCGACAAAGCGCTGCCCACACTGGTGCTTTTCATCGTTAAAACTTTTGTCGTTCAGGGGTGGGTGAGGGTTTTTTGAGGGGGTTTTTTTCCACACCCTTGAGGGATGAAGGTGCAGTGTAGACAAGGCCTTACTTTTGTTTCTCTCTCCTCCAGCCTGGGCTTAACCCTGCTTATCTTCTACTACTCCTTCGCCATTGTCGGCATGGAATTCTTCTCTGGGGTTGTCTACCCAAACTGCTGCAAGTGAGTACCCAGCAACCACCTTCCTCTGAAATGGCCTTATTAATAGCCTGGTTCAATGCCAAGCCAGGAACATTGTGTCTCATATCTGTGTTTTCCTATCAAGAAAAGGCCAGTGGATGTATGTTTACTGAGAGTGGTTGGTCTGAATTGGGATTCCCAGTAAAAGGGAGACTTACCACTTCTCTCGCTGAGACTCAGGGCAATGATCTTTACTTACAGTTTGAGAAGGGAGAGGGGTAGCAATGTGCTAGTTGGTAGTGCTGAGTATTTGAGTCACTGCCTGAAGCAGCTGGGCTGGGATGCTTGCTCTATAATGGCACCACAGCAAAGCACCCATGTAGTATGTACGATGCTGCAGTGCCCCTGTCAGAGGTACCACTTTAAAGAACGGCATTCAAAATGCAACAAGTGTTGGCAAGAAGGAAAAATAGCTTCCCTGCTCACAGGTCTCTAAGCATGCCGGTGTCTGTCAGCACCTGTAGCTTTGCACATTTTTCCAGAGCGCCTCTCATTGTATGTTTGCCCTGGCTTCTCTAATCAGCACGAGTACAGTTGCAGATGCCTATCGCTGGGTGAATCACACGGTTGGAAACAAGACAGTGGTGGAAGAAGGTTACTACTATCTGAACAACTTTGACAACATTTTGAACAGCTTTGGTAAGAGGAATATTTACATGTTGGTTCTTATCCAAGATAATTGTTGACCATACTCCTCGCATCTACTGCTGCCGAATGCAGAACGATCCTGTGTGGATTTGGTGCTTATGTAGGGGTGAGACTCTTAACATAGCTTGCATAACACCTGTCCATGCTTCCTTCTAGTCCCCAGAATTCTACCAATGCGTGTCAGTCCTGGTCCACAGTACCCCTTCCCCCTGCCCGCCCACATGTGGCTCTGCCAAATGACCTGCAGACCCTTGCTCTGGATCCCTAACAGAGTTCTGCTTATACTGTACACCTCAAACCTGCCGCAGCATCCCTTTCCTGTCCTGGGTTCTGCTGCTGGCTAACTGAATCCAACTGTGTGGTGATCTTACAAGGTAAACATATCCTGGAGACCAGCATGAAACCTGCCGACTTGTTTTGACATGTGATCTGAACCAGTTTTGTATCCATGTTTCCAGAGATGAATAAAGAGCAACTCCACTACCCTGCTGAGCCTCTAACACTGATCTTGTCACTCTCTGGGGTTTTTTTTTTTTTTTTTTTCTGATTTTAAACATGAGTCAGGCCTGCAGGAGGAGGAGGAGGATGGTGGTGATTTATTTATTTTTTTTCTTTGTGGATCTCTCCAGAGTCTTGCTTAGCGTGGACTGGCATGGCAGACTCTGGTTCCACTAAGATGTGGGCCAAACTGTGCTCTGTTATACCATTATAACTCTAGAGTAACTCCACTGTCATCAATAGGGTGACTTCAGATTAACTGCAGTGTAAGTGAGAGCAGAATCTGTCTCCTGTCATCAGCACTCAAGTATTTCGGTCTCTGTCTATACTGAAATGAGGTGTCTTATGAAGAAAATGGGAGAAAGCATGTAATAGGGGAAACTGAGGCATTGAAATGACTTTGAAACAGGTCAGGCTGGCTAAAGAACTTCTTGGTTTGTCCTTTCTGTCTCCATACAGTTACGCTGTTTGAGTTGACAGTTGTCAATGACTGGTACATCATCATGGTACGTAGATCTTGGGGTACTTAAATGTAGTCAGCACCAGGGCTGTGTCATCAATTCTTCATCACTCTGCAGGGCAAGATTCTCTTTAGGACGGATCCTTTTTCATCACTCTGATGGAGAAGGGCCAGCTTTGGCTGACATGGATGGGATGAGAGGGTGGCACTCTTAGCTGCCTGCCAGGAGCTGTCCGCCCCCGTAACGTCACTCGGGTATTCTGACAGACTGGTTGCCACTGGCTGGCTCAGCGCTGTACCTTTTGGCTCTTGTACAGCATGTGACAGCTATTGAGCAATTCTGAATGGTTTAGGGAGAAGATGGAAGATTCTGAATGCTGCCCTTTTACTTCATGTATTTCTCAATGAGGTTTCTCATCAGTCTTCTGATTTCTTCTCTCCTCCTCCCTGTCTCCTCTTCCCCCACCCTCCCACCTTGCCATGTCTGGTTGAATGACCGCCATTCTCTGTAATGCTATTGAGGAAATCTGCATTAGGAGTAACCTCAGGATCCCTGATCCAATGAATTCTGAATGGATTTCATGGCAGACCTGTTGTACCTTCGGTGTAAGGGTGTTAGTGACCGCACTCTTCAAGCACCTCTGTACTATAGCTTGTTGTCCCAGGCACCATGCTGTATATTGTTAGCTAGATATGTAGAGAGACCGCTATCTCTACACTGTTCAGTAGCACTCATCACCATTGTGTGAGTATTTACACATCAAAGTACTATATGGGAATCTGTGTTCAATCCTTTAGGGGAAGGGCTTCAGGCCCAGGGGCCAGCTGGGACTTTGAGTACGGTGGAGGCAGTCCCTGGGGTTAGATACATGAGGTGCACTACTTGTCCCTTATGTCATGAGGTACAGATTTACATTTTGGGGGGCGTGCTGCTTTGTCTGCTCTCAAGGGGACTAATGGCAGCTTCCCTCCTCTTTGCTTGCCACTGAACTCCTGCCTCTCTTGCCCCTAGGAAGGGGTGACCTCGCAAACCTCTCACTGGAGTCGCCTCTACTTCATGATCTTCTATATCGTGACCATGGTAGGTCCTCAATGCACTTTTGATGGAAAATCTCTAAATGCCAGCGGCAGTCTTGCTACATTCTAATGGAAGAATCCATGGCCAATTAGGGAAGTTCTCCTCTTTATGAAACGTAGCTCAGAAAGAGGCATGTGTCCAAATCACTTTCACTAACTTTAGTATGGCAAAAACTACAAGTGTTGCCAGAATCGACACATTATGTACAGAAGCTCCCCGACTTATGCAAGCGTTCTATTCCGGAATGCCTTGCGTAAGTAGAGTTTTGTGTAAGCTGGGAACGTAGCTCCGACAATTCCGCCCCCTTCCCCCCCCCCCCCCCCCCCAAAAAAAAGCGTATGGAACTTTTTCCGTAAGTCCGCATTTCCGTGAGTCGGGTTTGCGCAACCCAGGGAGCGTCTGTATCTGGATGGGAGTTATAGTGGTATGCAGTGGTGCCCCCATCTTGTCATACCGCCCATTCCCAGTTCACTGGCAGGCTGTTACACAAACACACCACCTAGACTCATGGATTAGGATTTGTAGACTGCCTCTGCTGAAAGGAGGGGTGAGAGGAAACAGCAAGAATTCAGGTGCAGTTCAGTTAGAACCAGATTTGGAAGGACGCTGCAGTTACAAACCTTGTGACGTGCTCTACTCATTCTGGCTCCCTTCCCAGGTGGTGATGACGATCATTGTGGCCTTTATACTGGAGGCTTTTGTGTTCCGCATGAACTACACCCGAAAGAACCAAGGTTCAGAAGGTTAGTGCCAGGCCTGGCCAGCCTGCTGGTCTGTATATCTTTGCTCTAAAGTCTGGCTTGTGCATATGAGAGACAACGACGGAACAGGAAAGTCCTGATTTTATGACCTCCTCGCATGCACCCACAATTCTGTGGGTGCTAATAACTGCAGTTGCTGTATTTAAATAGCAAGCTACCCGATTGCACCCAGCTCAGGTAGCTGGATATCCAATGGCAGCAGTTGTAGCTGCGGTTATTTGCATTCCCAACTGAGTGTGCAGACAATGGGCTATGAAGTATAGGCCCTTTTTTAAAATTCAGACCTTTGGCCCCAAACATCCTAGGAACTAGAAAACCCTCCCAGTCCAACATACCTGCCATCTCCTGATTGATCGTTCTTTTCTAACTTGTTGGTAAGATGTGGCTCCTCTTGCCAACTCCCAGTCTGAAGAGGTTGGGCCTATGCCTCTAAAGGAATAAGTCAACACCTTGACTGGCCTCCTGTTTATTCCTGTACAGCCAGCTTTGTGCTATGCCGCTTCAGAAGAGTCTCAAAAATTATTAAAGGATTGGGAAGCAAGCCTTGGAGTGACAGTCTCAAGGAGTTTGATCCCTTTAGTGTAATAAAGAGAAGGGCAAGGGGGGCCTTGATGGTGGTTTATAAGTACCTACACGGGCAACAATTTGATAATGGGTTCTTCAGTCTAACAGGCAAAGATATAACAAGATCCAGTGGATGGAAGCTGAAGCTAGACAAATTCAGACTGGAAAAAAGGAGTAAACTTTTAACAGTGAGGGTAATTGGCCATTGGAACACTTTACCAAAGATTGTGATGGATTCTTCATCATTGGCAGGTTTTAAATAAAGATTGGATGTTTTTTCTAAAAGATCTGCCCTAGTTCAAACCAGAATGAATTCAGGGAAGTTCTCTGGCCTATGCTATGTGGGAGGTCAGTCTAGATGATCACAGTGGTCCCTTCTGGCCTTATAATCTCTGAAAACCCTTTGGGATTATTGCCATTGCTGATTAAAACTGTGACTTCCCAATGTCTTCTCCTGGTTTTCTTTCCCTCCCTCTGAAGACGACAATGGCATTGTCCTGGAGAAGGAGATCTCCAAGGAGGAAATGGCAAGCATAATTGAGCTCTACAGACGGAATTATGCTGCCTCTGAAACTGCCCCGCTGCAAAAGGTCATTGCACAAATGGACAAATATGAGGTAAAGAGAGAAGCTGGGATTCAGGCCACAATCCCTGCACTTCTGTGGTGCAACGTGCAGGGGCACAGCTGTGGGGTTTAAAGGAGCTCTTCTGCTATGGTGCAGAGGGAGCCTCTTTCCACATTTGCCTTTGGCTCTTGTTAGAATCTGCTCTGTTGGAGGGACTCTGGATCGGTGCCCTGCAGGTTAGCACTTAAAACTCATTGCACTGAAGAAACTGCAGTTGAATTCCCACTGTATTCCAGAGAGCACTGATCAAGACCTATCTCACCATACAGAATAAACATTGCTAAGAGCCATCCTGACCAGCTGACCCCACTGGGAAGGAGCATTCTGGTTTTTGTGAGTTCCTAATACTGCAGTTACTGTCCAGTAATTCACCTGTGCTGCCCTATCTTTGTTTCTACCTGACCCACTACTGTACAGTTGTGTCCATACAGTTATGAAGCATTGTGCAATAATATAACTGTCAGTTCCAAGCTTCAGGCTTACTTCTCTGTAGACAATGGCAATTACTTTTACCACTGGTATCACAAAAGGGATATTGTCAAGCCTAAAAATGAAGTGACCTTGAAAACTGTCCCAGGCTGTAGTTCTTCCCTTCAAGAGCTCTGTGCCTCATGATGTTGGGAGACTTTAAACTGATTTTTGTAATAGCTGGAATTTTCCCCTTCCATCCCACACCCCGAATTGTAGACACCAGACTCGCTGTACTAGATGACAGCACATTTGCATCAGTTGGCTTGCTGTATCTCTCGTTGCTGGGGTATTGAAATGTTGAGCAATTGTACCCACAGGTAAAATTCAGAACTGGAATCTTGACGGTTACATCTGCCGAAGAGGAGGCAGTTTTCAAGATATTAGGTCTAAAAATGGCTCTAACCTCAACCATGTCCATTTAAAAGAACAGTTTAAATAAGAAAGTTAAACCAGTAACTGTAAGGATATTCTTAATACTCCTCAATTATAAATAACCCAAAATGATGTCACAGTAACTTAGGCTGTTACTCTGTTTGTGTGGGTTGAAACTAACCAGACCCATTGGGTAAGCTAGCGGGTATAGGTGAATGAGGAAAGTTTTAGTTAGGCACAAGCTCTCTCGGGAAGCTTGGGTTCTCATCTCACCGCTGAGCTAGCTGTGACCTAGTGGGGCAAGGAGTTGTTGGAGGACCTAGATTCTTTTTCCCATTTTTATTAATATCTCTATACTTTTTGTTTTCTCAGCAAACATCAATGCTGTTTCTGGGACGGCGATCAAGGACCAAAAGTGACTTAAGTATGAAAATGTATGAGGAGGAGATACAGGTAGGAAACATCGAGTTGCAAACGTCCTCATAAGTTTCTGATTAGCAGGACACTGTCCATTGGTTAGAATGTTTAATCATTCTTTAAATGTTGGGAGTCTTCCACCCAGAAGAACCAGACGGCAGGATGCTCTGCAGAATATACAGTATATAAAGGGCATCTCACAATATTCATAACCTCATACATTTATGTAGCCCCTTACAGGCCAAAGTGCTTCGCAAACTGTGCGTGCCACTGAAATGAAGTGCTCTCCAGGGTGAAACACAGCACACATTTACCAGTGCCAGCAACACCGCCTGGCAGTTCAGGGCAGGAGGTGAAGAATAAGGTTTAGAAACATCGAAGCTATGTCTACACTACACAGCTTACAGTGGTGCAGCTGCTAGTGCAGATGCTCTAAGCCAGGGGTTCTCAAACGGGGGGTCAGGACCCCTGAGGGGGTCATGAGGTTATTACATGGGGGATTGTGAGCTGTCAGCCTCCACCCCAAACCCCGCTTTGCCGCCAGGATTTATAATGGTGTTAAATATATAAAAATGTTTTTAATTTATAAGGGGGGGGTCACTCAGAGGTGTGCTACGTGAAAGGGGTCACCAGTACAAAAGTTTGAGAACCACTGCTCTAAGCTGATGGGAGAGAGCTCTCCCATCGACTTAATTACTCCATTATGCAATTACTTAATTACCGCGAATGGCAGGAGAAGCTCTCCTGCCGACACAGCACTGTCTACACCGATGCTTAGGTCGGTATAACTTACATCACTCGGGGGTGGCTTATTCACACACCGGAGTGACACAAATTATACCAACATAGGCTGTAGTGTAAACGTGGACCTAGATTAACTGATGAGGCAGTTCCTGCTAATATTCTTCAACCACAGGAGGTCTCTACTGCAAAGGACAGTTGTTTTCATGCTTCCATCTTTACCAGTTTCTTTCACGTCAGTTATTAGTCTTATTTACTCCATTAAATAGCACCGTGATAGGGTACCCATGTCCGTCTCCGATGGAGAGACCATGGTCTTAGTGGTTATGGAGGCTGAACTTCCCTCTTAACCCTGAGGTACTCCTACCATGCTAATCCTGAGCATGTTGGCGAAGAAGCCTCCGTAGTCAGTCTGTTGAGCTGTGGGCATAGACTATTGCACTGCTTGAGCAAGTGGAGGTGGCATCATCCTTCCTTCTCTTGAGCCTGTCCTCCCCCGCCCCACCCCTCCTGGGTCAGTCGGCGGGGGCTCGCTAATGAGCAGTGCAAACTGTGGGTGCACTCCGGCCATTTTATTTCCTTGGAGGCTTAGTGTGAAATCACCAGGGCTGACTGGAAAACAAGCATTCCATGTGATGAAAAATTAACAGTTTGACATGGGTAACAAATGTTGAACTAAACAAAGACCTTTCAGAAATGAGAGCCAGACACTGACCAAGCGCTCCACGCTAGCTAATAGCCCAGTGGTTAGGGCATCTCCACGTTCGAGACCCTGCCCTGCCTGATTGAGCAGGGACTTGAACCTGGATCTCCCACGAAACCACCGGGCAACTACTTGTTCTGAGGGTGCTTGGGCACTCGTTCTCCCCAGTGGAAGTTCAGGCAAAACCAAAACATTTCCACAAAATTTTGGTTTTAACAAAAGCCTTTTGTTGAAAAGTTGCTGACTCGCTCTAAACATCAGGAGCCTTTTCAAACACTGGTAGGCTCGTACACTGAGAGGAGTGCACCAGGAAAATCCCTCTCTGGAGGGAAGGGGCCATTAACTCCACAGGAATTTGTCATGACTAATTTGATGATGATGGATACCAAAGGAGTTAATCTCTGCATCTTTCTGGTGTCCTTTCTGTTGCTAGCAGTGGGATGACCTGTGGCTCCTACAGTGAGTGTAACCCTGGTGCTTATCTTTAGTGTTGGTCAGAATCTGCTGAGACTCTTCTAATTTATAGCGAGTGAAATGACCAGTCTGTCCTTAGCAAATGAATCTTAAACGCCTGCAAAGGAGGCATGTCACTGAAAGATTAAACGTCCTTGCCAGGATTTCCCAGTGCATCCTGCTGTTGCAAACTCCATGTGAAAAATTAATGGAGATATCCTATCTCCTAGAACTGGAAGGGACCTTGAAAGGTCATCGAGTCCAGCCCCCTGCCTTCACAAGTACTGATTTTGCCCCAGATCCCTAAGTGGCCTCCTCAAGGATTGAACTCACAACCCTGGGTTTAGCAGGCCAATGCTCAAACCACTGAGCTATCCCTCCCCCCAAGTGATGGGGTGATAGTTAATGCTTTGAACCCAGGAGCTGAGAGCTCAGTGCTTCCATCCTGCAAATGTTACAGTGATGCTCTAGTTAACCCTTTCCTGACAGCAGCTCCAGTTGTATCCAAACTTTGCATTGGAGGAAACAGATTTTTATAGACGCCTTAAAAGAGACAGTGTAACTAAGCCCTCACTATTTACTACTGCCAAAGCATTTGAGATGTATCGCACCCCTGGGTTCTCTTGTGTTTCACAGGGAAGGGGGAGAGTGTGGCTGTTCAGGGGAGAGTAGTATGGTATGGCGAAGAGACTTCTCTCATTGGGTGTGTTCTTCCCTCTGTTCAGGAGTGGTATGAAGAGCATTCCAGAAAAGAAGAATATCCGTGGCAAGATGTCTTCCCGTCTGGCAACCACATGCTGTCCTCGGGCCTCAGGCAGCGCTCACAGACAGTTATCTAGGCCAAGCTAGTGCAAACCATTCTTCTATGCAATAATCCCATAGTATTATTTTATAATGTATATAGATATATTCAGTATATCAGTCAAATTTTGGTTTTAAACATCTCTTCCCCTGGAAGACATCATGAGTTGCTTTGAATAAATGAAAAGCAAAGAACCAGAGGACTCAAAATAGGACTGCTGGAACCAAAAAAAAATATATAAAGTTATAATATAACTCTTCAGCAAGACCCTATCGCTGCAACTGTGACTGATGACCATCTACTACAGAATACTCAGTTGTTCTTCCTGGCCTGTTCTTCCCCAACACGGGCCCACGACTAGTTTTACCAGTCGGAAACCATGGGGAGGGATATTTAATCCTTTGGAAGAAGGAAATAATACTGAACCCACCTGCTAATATTGAAGTTCTGTGCTTAAAATATAGTTTCTTTAACCCATTAATTCTTAAATAAAAGAATCAGGGAGCAAGTTTGTATTTCCCTCCCCATCTAGTATCCAGCAAGGTGGGGTTGGATGAGAAGTTTACCACTTTAATCTACACCCATTCTGCCTCTTCCTAACTACCTAGGCTTATTGACCATTCTAGAGACACTCCCTGTTTCATTCCTGAATAGCTCATCCAACCTCTTAAATCTGTTCTTTGGAGGATGGCTGTAGGACTGAGATCCAGTAGTTCTTTGGATCCTTACTAAAAGTGATGAGACTTGACAGAGTTCTGGATCAATGCCCTTGCTGAAGCTATCAAAGTTCTCTCTCTAGTGTTCTGTGCTATACAGGCTGGGAGCCATTTGACAAGTCCCAAAACTCTGGCGATCTGGTAGTAGGTGAGATGCAAATTCCACAGGACGGTGATGCTGAGCCTTTGCCATTCCACCCTCCAGTTTATAAGTGGAAGATCTTTGCCTGGTATGAGAATGAGACAGCACAAGGTTAGTGACTGAGCTTCAGTGGGGCTGGATTGAGAAGTGCTGGGGAGGTGTGTGTGCATGTGCCTGCACAGCATCTCTGTGCAGTCACCAACAGGGTAACGTCACCTTTGATTTCCCAGGCAGGTTGACATGACCACAAGGGAACTTTTCTCCTTTGCCGCCTCTCTCGCAAAAACTTGGCGAGCTCTGGGAACCACTATTTTATGAATCAGGGCCAGTTTGGGAAGCTTTTCTAATGGGAGAACTGGACTTAGAGATGTGGAAAACAACTCTTCCATCCACCTGCCCTTCTGTATCATACATAGAGGCAGCTCTGCTCTGTTCTGTGCTCTGACTTGCTCCGGGACCGTGGGCAAGGTCACTTAATCTGTGTGCGCTTCTGTTTCCACACAATGGGAGTAATGAAGCCCACTTGCGTAAAGCAGGCCACAGTCTGTGTATGGAAAGTGCTGAGTATTATAAAAGCATGGAGTCATGGCACATGTGCATTGGCAGATCAAAGGAGAGGTTGCCATGGCATCTCACCTTTGAAATTTGCTCTCTCCAGTGGGTGGGCCCCTCTAAATGAAGTGAGCTTTTAGGAATCCCTTTGGCAATCTGCACTCCAAAACTATTGCATAGGAGACTGCCTCCCTCCTAAGTCAGACAGCATTAATCCTAATACCACCTCATCCTTGGAGTTATAGACCCACTGTGAGGGACCATATTGCACTATATTGAGCGAAGGAAGGGAAAGAGTTTCCTCAGCTGGCTGCACTGTTCATTTAGGAGCTGCTTTGTCATTCCCATTATGGCCTATGGTGAGATTTTTCAAAAGCATCTCAAAGTCTTAAGAGCCCAGTTCCTGATGATTTAAGTCTCACGTGGTTTTGACAACCTCGCCCTCTATGGGTAGTGGTTCAGAGTGTTCTGATTAAGTGAATGAGATGGTAGTCACCACGCCTGCACCCATTGCATGCTGCTTGTCCTCACTGCTGCATTCTGGGAATTCATTGGATACCCAAATGAAACTCTCTGCTTCCTTTTTGTGTGCAGTGGACTCCAGAGTTATGACGTGACACCTGAGCCCTGCCGAGTTTCCCTCTTGAGAAATCGGGGCCATTTTCCAAATTGTGTATCTCACATCCAGGACACTCACTGATGGGCAGCCCTGAAAAGAGCACATCTGCTGCTACGCCTGGAATCCTAGCTCTGGCGTTCCACTCTACACTAGTCTCTAGATGCTGCAGAAGCACAACTTCTATTCGTTGCTGGCAGGATGGAAAGCACCAGGATTGTAAGGGTTAAAAACAAATGCAGCTGTTAGGGAAGTAAAAAAAAGATGATTTTCAAAGCCATCATTCAGGCCTTTTTGCACTCCTGGGGGCACGGGGACTATATAAAGGGGGTATGAACCTGCAGAACATGGAGTTTTCAAGAGAGAACTCGTGATGAAGGGTGCACAGGATTGCTGAAAGACGTGTTCCAGAGTAAAAGTGCTACTCTGCCTTCTGTGGTTTTACTGCTGAGATTTTGATCTGGCCTGAAATATCCACTGTATTTTTTTTTTTTTTTTTTTTTTTTTTTAACTGAGGTTTGTAGAGGTTACTTTTTCCAAATGACTTAACAGTCGCAAGGGGAAAAAGTTTGAGTACGGGGCATCCCCTTCCAATTGTCCTCCCCATCCCCTTCGTAGACACTGACTTACCGTAACTACAAAGACAATCATTTTATAGGGATAAGGGAGGAAACACTGCAGGGTTTTGTATGCTGGCGGTTAGTTTATAAATAACTTTATGGACATGTCTGTACAACAGCCTGTAGATTTTCAGGCACATTAATAAAAACACCCTCTGCTACATAAAGACAGCTGCCTCGGCTCCTCTTTCCTGTGTCCATTTCGATAACCAGTTGGTTCGTGGGTGAGCTATTGCCAAACTGAGAGGATCCCTGTCCTTAGATTGCAGTCGCTAGGCACAGAGACCCTCCTGTTGCCCCCCCCCCCAAAAAAAAAGTTGCCTTAAACTTCTACTGCGATACATTTAAAATGCTAAGTAACCCTAGGATTCTGTAAACTGGCTGCTTCCTTTCTCCAGCCCACCAGAGTTGTCCCTTGTGGTCTGGAGTGAAATTTTCAGAAGTGCCTAGATCCCATTTTTGTATGTGAGTTAGGAGCCCAGGTGTGTCTTACTTTCAGTGAGATTTAAGATCCTAAGTGCCTGTCACTGTTGAAAATGGGCTTTTTTTAATATCATTTTTAGATGGTTTTTAAATCTTGTGCAGATTTGGCACCTGAGAACAATATCTTGGAACTGTGCAGTTCACTTTTCCGGGCATTTGAAGCTGCCACAACTCCAACTCCAAATGTTCACCACTATTTCTTCAACCCCTCATACCGTCTCCACTCCTTGGGCTGCCTGTGTGTCAATGGAGAAGTTTATTTCACCAGGCTTCTTGCCATCCCTGTTGCACAAGGCCCAATGACTAACCCTTGTGATCACTCAATCCAAGCACAGTGCTGACCCAGGATTAAAGAAAGCCATGACAATGCGATTTCCTAGGAAACCAAGAGGATTGTTTTCTTCTTTAATGGCAAACTAATCCACCCGTGACTGCTGTTCAGGGGTCCTTCACTATTGAAGGGAGACGATTGCTACTTCCCGTCAGCACTAGAGCAACTGAAATGTACTCCCAGCACAACTGGGTATGGTACAAGCTTCTGCCACAGCACTGCTGCATTTGCCCTTCCTGCGTATGTCGTTCCTGCTGCAGTGATGTATTTCCCCACTGCTCCATAGATGGACAGATGTACTGTAATAGCTCCTGTGAGCCCCAGTCATGGACCAGTCATAGGCACTGCACAAAGAGTCACTAGGCAGAAACCACTGAACGTTTTGTTTTGTAACCCTTCCATAAAGCATCTGAGCCTAACCTCGGTTTCCAGAGACTAAGAGGGTACGTATCGAGGCCACTGGAGCACTGACAAGTCTTTCAAAGTTGCACTGAAACGGTCATTTCACAGAATTGCTTTATTGTGCCATGAATAATGATCACTTGTCGTATAGGGGGAAGGCTAAAAAACCTGCCCATAACCCCCCTTTCTGTGCAGCTACCAAATGCCACTTACAGCAGCAGGGATTTAAACTGATCCCCATTTAAAATGTAATGCAAAGCCTTCCTCTGAAAACCAATCTTTCTTTAATTAACAAAACAGTCCCGGTTCTAAATCTAAATAATCCCTTTCCTTAAAAAAATCAATTGGAAGTTAATACTGGCAGTGGAGTCCCAGGGACAAAGTCCCGGCAGCCCAGGGTTGACATCTCATTTGGCTGGATAGCCCCTGGGCCAGAGGATGTCTAAACCGAGCAGCAATGTAGCCTCAACTCCTGCCGCTCCAGTTTCCTTTCCTGGGGCGGCAGGGTCACGGGAACCTTAGTGTACAGGATCCAAAGCACGCGCCCTCCAGGTGGGAAGTTCCAATTGTCATAATGCCTTCAGCGTAGAGAAATGGATACGTGTCCAGAGCTGTGCTCGCCAGGAAGGGAGCTCCGTCTCCCTCCCCTCCCGGTGGCATGTCCTTCAGTGATTCATTGGGAATAGAACTGGCCCAGCCAGCGAATGTGGAAAGTCTCATGCCAGTTGCTCTCCTGCATCTGGCCAGCCCACTGTCACCTCTTGCCCCTTCACCATCAGCAGGTTGGTCCAAGCCCTGCAGGCTCGTCACCCCGCTCCCACCATTCTCGCCAGAGGTGCTAAGAGACAAGATGGCGTCCGGCGGCGATGCCGTCAGGGGGCGGGGAGCTGGATCACCTTGAACTCCGTCAGCAAAGCTACTGTGAGGAAGGCCAGGTAGTAGAGGAGGAGGCAGACCCCGTACCCTCGGCCCAGCTGGAAGCACTGAGCCGGCACTGATATGAAGGAAAAGACCAGACTCAGCCCCAGTGCTCCAGCCAGAATCCAGACCAGAAGACCATCCAGCTCCAGCTGAGAAGGGAAAGGGGAGAGTTAATTCTTGGTGCCACGTGGTTACTTCAGGGGCCAGTGCATCAGCACTCTGGGTTTCTATACCTCCAGCCAATCTTGTACAGCCAGGAGCCACCTGCCAGAAATAGGTGCCCTCCTGAGACTCCAAGAACAGGGGTTCCCGAAGTAAATCCTAAAAGTGCCAGGATAATCCTTGTCTCCAATGAGGGGCCCACCACTCTATCTGTGGAAATGGTCTCTCCCTCCTCTCAGCTGTGTCTTCACGCACAGCTCCCACTGTAAAGCGATGGGTGTTCACCCCCAGCGTACGGCTACACGGGGAAAAATTCAAAGCGACCATTTACCTAGGGTTACCATTCGTCCGGATTCCCCCGGACATGTCCGGCTTTTTAAGCTAAAAATAGCGTCGGGGGGAATTTGCAAATGTCCGGACTTCCCCCGATGCAGAGCACGCGCGGCTAACAGTGCTGCCGCCAGGACAGTGTCACTTACATGGGGCTCCGACACTCAGCCAGAGAGAGCACGTCCTCCTCCCTCCCTCCCTCCCTGCATCGCAGATCGGCTCCGGCAGTCTGGAGCTCCTCCCCCACTGCTGCCCAGGGGCTCAGGCAGTTCCTGAGCAAGTTCACCGAGACATTAGGTGAAGGCCAACAACAAGGGGGCCAGGGGGTCGGAGAAGGGGCAGGGAGGTTTTGGAGGGGGCAGTCAAGAGATGGGGGGGGTCGGGAGTTCGGGGGGGGGGCTTTTTGGGGGGGGGG